ACGGCACGGCGCGGCGCGCTCCCCGCGCTCCCCGGGCCTGCAGCGCCCGGAGGCGCCCAGGCAGCACGGCACGCCACGCGGCCGCGGCCGCGGCACGGCCTTGGCGCTGCGCGCTGCTCCCTCGCGCACCTCTTCGAGCCCCGGGGAGCGGCGCGCCACGGACGGCACGCGGGCACGGCACGGCAGGCCACGCTGCTGTCGCCCGCCGGAGGCCTGGGAAGGACACGGCACGGCACGGCCTCGGCGCGGCACGCTGCCGTCGCGCACCTCTTCGAGCCCCGGGGAGCGGCGCGCCACGGACGGCACGCGGGCACGGCACGGCAGGCCACGCTGCTGTCGCACGCCGGAAGCCTGGGAAGGGCACGGCACGGCGCGTGGCGCGGCCTTCTCGCCCTCGCGGGCCCCTGGCGCGGCACGGCGCGCGGCACGCCGGCGGCAAGCGGTGTTCGCACTCTGTGCATGCAGCGCGGGCGTCTTTTCCCGCGGAGCCACTGCGGGCCCGCTGTGGAGGGCGCTGCTCAGGGAACGAGGGCTGACGACTTCTGCCATCTCAGACGCTTGGCCATCTCGCCCCGTCGCCGAAACAGCATGGCGAGAACTGGCCCGCATCCGTTTTGCCGGCCGCCAAGCGTGAACGCGTCCGTTGGTCTGGCGACGCTCACATGCCGCAGATGCATCTGCTGCGCGTGCACTAGCTGGTAGTGCCTGCCTGGCCTCTGACGCACCAGACGCGGCAGAAATGCACAATTGGGGGGCGGAAAGATACGGATACGTGTTGTCCCCGGACCTCTCTTGGGGTGCGTTCTGACCAGAATTTCGAGGCGAATCCAGCGGTGACAGCGAGGATTCCCCAGGAGGACCAGGAAAGGCCGAAAACGACGGGGGACAACACGTATCCGTATCTTTTTCTCCCCCGACACAAGCCGCTGCTGCAGAGACAGGGCCGCGCACAAACATAAACACTAAACCATGCTCCAGCACAACGCGGGAAGAGGCAACCAAACTGCGCTTCGTGCAGGCGGGCGAGGAGGAACCATTTTCACGGGCGATGACGCCGATCGCGGTCTCTGCACTTCGACCTCTCGACGGATGGGGCTCTGAGGGATGGGGTCCTAAGGTGAGAATGAAGGAGACCACAAACACACAAATAAATACACACAAATAAAACGATTCCCCATATTTTCCCATATGTTCTGGGTTTTTGTCTTCCCCACCACTTCCCATATTTTCCCATATCTTCCTGGGGATCGACGATTAATTGTGTCTGTGTGTTTTTTCCACTCCTGACATTGAACCGCCGAACGCTGACTCGGAAGATCTACACCCCCTGGAGCTCTCTGGCTCGATCCCAAGCCTTTTTCGACGCGCCGGGCCCAACCGCCGGGCACCCACGTTTTGAGACTTAGCCCTCCCGGGATCCCGCGTGACTATAGAGTATATCCTCGGGGATTCCACTCCGACGTATTCGATCATGCGCTCCTTATTACCCATCGGCCTTGGGTGGTCTTCGGCGGTGGTTTTCGGCGGTCTTCGACGCTAAAGCTGGATGGTTGCGAGTGACAAGGGGTCAATGATCAAACACCACTCCCAGACAAGTTCCACGCGCCCCCGCAAGGGCTCGAACGATCCTGGTGCTGCCGTGCGCGCTGGGACCCAGTCAAATATGCCATTTCATGGCCGGACGGCGCTCCGATCGGCCAATTCCTCTCGAAGGGAGCTGCGTAGCAATACCAGTCGAGCATGGCAGTCCCGAGCAAACCTTACAGGGACTTTTTGGAAGGGTCGGGGGGGTTCTCAGGAAACTTATTAGAAAAGCCGATCCTCATCTGCGCGCCGCTGGCCGCCCTGCCACAACTGGACTTGATGTGGCGCAGCAAACCGCGAACTCTAGCCGTCGCCACTCGCTGTCACTGCCCATCCGAATTCCCCAAGTGAAGAAGAATCGGGAGACAACAGTATGCGCAAGGATGCCGCGCCGCGGTAAATTCCAACGGAGGACATGGGGCCATACATGGTCCCCACGCCCGATGCATTGACTGTACTATGGAACGCGTGCAACTAGTGAAACACTGCGAGCCCGCTTGAGATCAGGCCGTCGAGAAGTACTCGCTGCAAATGACGCGCCTCCTACCCTGCCAGTCACTGTCGCGAGGCCACGCCGCACGCTCCCCCGACAGCGGCACGACCAGCGCCGCGCGAGAAGGGCTGACCAGATCGGACAGGAACGAATCGGGAATCTCCAAGGTTTGGTGGCTCTGGAAGAATTCTCGGGCGCAGCGGCCGTTCCAGAGCTTTCCAACACGCTCCGAGGGCGTTCAGGAACAGTCTGGAACGAGTTATCCCTGCGTTGGCCCCGCCCACCCGATGTTTCGCTCATGCGGCTGGTATCATAATGTCGCTTGCATGATTTCGAGGTCATGGGCTCCCCTGCTGTTCCAGTAGCAAGATTATGGGCACCGATGTTCGTTCCCTTTCGGCCCTGGAACATATCCGCCAGCATGCCGCGAAATACCGAGTGTAATGCCCTCATGTCCCGTCGAGTTCTGTATGGGGTACTGTCTCCCAAATCGCGCTTGCGCTGAATGGGCTCTACTTCCCTCTACTTCCCTATCGATAGCTCGCTGCCTTTACACAACTCCTGAATGGTGCCTTCTCTTGGGGGCCTCGTGGATAGCCTGGACCCCGTGGGTTTCCGCCCTGTGCCCACCTGTAGGCGCCTCTGGGTCGCCCGGAGCGATGCTTTTTTTCCAAGTGCTCACCCAGTGCCCGCTCGAGGGCGCCTAGTTCTCTGGCTGGCACTGTCTGAACACACAGACACATGTTGCACCACACAGCTTGCACCACATGGGCTTCACCAAACGACATGCAACGCAATGTTTGCACTGCATAGGTGGCCCCAAATATATTGCACACCGTAAATTGCACCACGCAGTGTGCATTTCATATGATTTACAAGTTTACAACGTAGCTTGCACCCCGTAGCTTGCAACCTATAGTTTGCTTCGTTCAGTTCCAACCGCATAGCATACACGACACGTTTTGCGCATCCCCTCTATGGCACATTACACATACTACACCACACACGTTGAGACATCTAGGTTGCAACACACATGTTGCACCATACACAGACTGCGCAACACACATCCCCATGCATAATGCAATAATCCACGATGTATGATCCACATCGGCAAACATAAATGACTCTTGTAGGAACCCCAACGCCAAATTCCAAGAACTCTTGGGAGCTCCTGGGGCCTTCCGGCCGGTCCTTGGTGCTCTCGGGGCTTCCAGCATGACTTTCTTCGAGGCCTTCGGACAATGGCTGCGGATCTCAATCTCTAGCATGCCGTAAGTTGGCCCTAACGGACCGTCCTGGGAATCTCTTGGGAGACCCTGGGGCTGTCTTGGAGGTCCTTTGGGCTAGCTCATGAGGCCAACATCATGCAATCATATTTGGTTCTGTGAAAATTTAGAACAGTCTCGGCGACGCCCCCAATACGGCCCCAGAGGGGCCCAAAAGGGGGAACCCGAAGCGGAATTTCGAGCCCAACCCCCAAGACAACCCCCCGACGCCGCCAATAGACCCCCGAGAGGCCCCAAGAAGCCCCCCAAGAGCGCCCCCGAGAGGTCCCGAGAGACCTCCAAGAGGTCCCAAGAACCAGGATACCCTCGAGACACTTCTCAAAAGACCCCGATCTCTCCAGCGTGGACCTTCTCCGCGACGCAAGCGCGGTGGCGGGTGGGACCGAAGGCCTTGGAGCCCCTTGGGCCCTTCCAGAAGGTTCTCCACGACGCTCTCTGGGACCTTCTAAAAAGTTCAAAACAATTCTCCAAACGGCCTTTGGGCCCTTGGGGCCCCTCCAAAAAGGTCCAACAGGTTCTTCAAAAGGTTTGGCCCTTTGGGCCCTTCCAGAAGGTTCTCCAAGACGCTCTCTGGGACCTTCTAAAAGCGTCAAAACAAGTTCTCCAAACGGCCTTTGGGCCCTTGGGGCCCCTCCAAGAAGGTCCAACAGGTTCTTCAAAAGGTTTGGCCCTTTGAGCCCTTCCCTTTGGGACCTTTTTGGGCCCATCCGCCGCCCCCGTTAGGCAAACCCCTTGGGGCCCTTCCAAAAAGGCTCTCAGTGGGGCCTCGCCGGGGCTCGGAGCCCACGCGGAAGAAGCGAAACGAGTGGGAGGCAAGGGCTCTGTCCGCCCAGGATGGCCCCCCAGAGTGCCTCTGAGACGGCCCCCATCTCGCAACCAAGAAGGTCCCCAGACGCCTCCAAGACGGCCGAGATGGCCCCAACATGCCACCAGAACGGTCCCAACATGACCCCAAGACGGACCAGATGTCCTCCAGACGGCCCAAGAGGCCCCCAAGACGCCTCTCCATTTCCCAAGTGTTCCCCACATGGGTTCCACAACGGCTGGGTGAGCACATAGTCCAATAGCTTGGCCAAGTTTTGGCACAGCGTGTGGCCACAACAACACTTCCATAAGAAGGCAGGGCGCGGCGGTGACTCGCCGTAGGCGGCTTCGATGCGTCCTTCTGGCAATCTGCCTTCATGCGCGATCCTGTGGACGGAACATACATCAAGCCCGTGCCTTGTAGATTTGGTGCGGTGTGTCCGCTGAGAGCATCCTGTCTCTTCTGGTCATCGTGCGAACTCGGAAGAACAACAGACCCTCGAGCCTGCTTGTGATCTCGTCACTGCGCGCCGTCACATGCGTGCTGACATACGGGACATCGGGAAACCACGACATCACTTCCATCGGCTAAACACGGAATGACCCCGTGCTTCGTGGTGAGCAACCTCCAACGCGTGATTGCGCTCGCACTCTCAACACCCTTATTCGACTCGCCGTGCCATGGGAGCGTGTCAACTCATGGCGCCATGCATCAAACGAGCTGCCCCAACCACTCGACCCTCCCCTGCGACAGCGCAACATAACTGTTGGCACGAACTATACTGGAGCCCCCCCCAATCCAATGTGACGCCCGTGCGGCTAGTCGCTCAGCGTCACCTCTCCTGACGGCAGAAGCGGAGGGGGGCGACACAGTCTCAGTGGCAGAGGCACAAGCGATGACTTCGAGTGGAAGGAGACAGATAAACAAGGGGGCGATGACCAGAATAGGCATGACGATGCCGAGCTGGTGGGGGGGCCATTGAAAATAACTGTTACGCATCAGGAAATCTCGGGGTCACAGAAACCACTGCAAGCTGACAAACTACAACCTGCGCGGCTACCGGGTGACCCGAGCATGTGCACTCAGCATGGCTTCCATCACCACTTCTCCATTCAGCCCGCCTCTTGGTGGCCCACTCTCTCTCTCTCTCTCTCTCCCCCTCTCTCTATACAGCGCCACAACAAATTTGGGGCGTGTTTGGGCTGGTGGTTTTGATCGTATACCATCCATGGGGTCGTGCCCATTCGGTCGCCCACGCCTGTGCAACCATGTCCTCCTTATTCAGCCCGAGGAGGGCAGTGTGACACCAAAGATTACAGACGCGGCTTAAGTTGTCAGTCTCTTTCCATAAGCACAGACGCCGTCGAAACGATCCATGCCGACTGCGCGCAACATCGTGGCAACGTGACATCTTTCAGGCTGGCGCACTCGTCATGGCGATGCGCCCCATGCTTTATGGGCTAGGATGGCGCTCGACTTGTTGGCCCTTTGCGTCGTCCGCTCGCACGCACGCTTTCGCTGTGAACGAACTCACGATGAAGAGCCCAGTTCGATCGTGCAGAGTCGGTCTGCGCCCGAATCTGCGAGGCTCCCTAAGCCCTGGGCCCGTTGTCGTGCCGCAGAAAACATGTAAACTACCATCCTAAGACGCGATCAGGAAAGACATGCGGTGCGCGCTGTGTTCTGCGTTGGCTGTGTCTCAAGCACCCTTCTGGGGCCCATCCTGGCCAACTGTTGGAGCTGCGTTCAGCCGTGTCGCTGGGGAAGGCCCCCCTCAACCAAAGATCAAATGATTATAATAAGAGTAACACGGATCAGGAGGAGGAGGAGGAGGAGGAGGAGGAGGAGGAGGAGGAGGAGGAGGGGAAGGAGGACGAGGACGAGGACGAGGACGAGGACGAGGAGGAGGAGGAGGAGGAGGAGGAGGAGGAGGAGGAGGAGGATAAAACGCTGGCTGGCGGACGCCGCGCTCCACGGGGCGCCAAGCGTGCAGAGGAGGAGAGGGCAGGGCCCTTGCCCGCCTCGGAATCTGTCAGCGACGCGCTCCCCCGCCCAAGGGATCGCTGGGAGAGCTCCCAGACCCCCCAGCAGAGACAAGGAACAAGGAACTGGATGGAGGCCAAGCACAGCATCAGCCCAGTGCCCCAAACAGGTTTGCGGCATCACCTGGGACAGCGCTCTGCACTATTCTCCAGGCTGTGCCCCCTCAAAGCGAGGGGAGTCCACCGAAACCACTCCCTGGGAGCGGAGGTGTGTGTGGCGTCACCTGGGACGGCACAGCTCGTGCCATCCGCCAGGCCGCGCCTACCGCAAAGCGCAAACAGTTCACTAAAGCCACTCACTCGAGAGGCCAACCCGTGGACCAGGTGTGCGGCATCACTTGGGACAGCACGGCTCGTGCTTTCCGCAAAGCTGTGCCCCCCTCCCAGCGAGGGGAGTCCACCGACGCCACTCCCTGGTCGCTGGGGCTGGCTGCCGTGACCAAGCGACCGCGGTATCACATCTGAGGTGGCGCCTAGGCTCTCTGCCCGAGACGGCTCAGAAGCCCTAGTCGCCGCATCATCGTCCGCCGTGTTCGACCTGGGGCGGCGAACAACATCCAGCAAGCCTTCAGCGTACCGCCCCCAGAGATACGCCACGTCACTGAAGAGGTGCCCGTCCCTTCTGGGCCCTGCCGCGGCGCCATCAACCAGAGCGGCCATGTCGGCCGCCAGAGGGGAAGCAACGCCATCGTTCCGAGCTGAAACGGCCCCGCTGAATTGAAGCCCGGCCTTGAACGCTTGCCCTTCGAGACCCGACGGGTTGCCTAGGAGCACCGTTCCACAACCGAGCGCCGAAGGGACGCCCACGAGGCCCAGGAACTGGGCGAGGATGAGCGACCTCTTCCGTGGTGTCTTGAGGCCCAGCCTTGAAGATGCGGCCGCGGGGCCCAGGGAGCGGGCGAAGAGGGCCACCCCCAGGTCGGGCACCGAAGACTCGCCCGCGCGGCCCAGGGACTGGACGCGGGAGGGCGACGTCGGAAGGCTCGAGAATACGTAGACTATCAGCACGCGCGTCCAGACAAGGTCTAGCAAATCCAAGCCGATCCCCACCAGCTCGAACAGCGTTCCGTGGACTCCCAGCACGCCGAGCACGATGAGGTCCAGCAGGCGAAGGCTGCGCGGCAGGCGCGCCGCCCAACGACGACGGCGAAGCGCCATCTGCGGGGCAAGACACGTGCGCTACATCACCAGGAAGTCCAGCAGGTCTGTGACACCCGCCCGTTGTAGGGCGACGAAATCTATACATATCCACTGCTCCCTGGCCAGGCCCATCCTCAACCCCGCAGCGGTGTATACGCCACGCCCTCCTGGCTTGCATACACAGCTCCTGGGTTCAAGATGGGCATGGTCAGGGAGCAGTGGATATGTATAGATTTCGTCGCCCGACGTTGGTCCACCGTCTCCTCCTCCTCCTCCTCCTCCTCCTCCTCCTCCTCCTCCTCCTCCTCTCCCTCCCCCCGAGCGGGCGCCGGAGCGCTGCGCGCTGCTTCACCCCCCCCCCGGCCACGCGCGGAGCCGCGCCCTCCGCGATCACATGTCGGGCGAGCCCCGCGGCCGCAGCAATGCGAGGATGGCGCCAGCCGCAGCCTGTGCGTGGCGAGCCGCCGTGCAGCGCGCCCTGGCGCGGCGTCGGGCGGCACGGGACAGCAAGGCCGCACAAGAATTACCAGCCTGGAACATATCCCTATCCCTATGCTGGGCATCTCCTCATCACGATGCCAATCTTAGGGATTCCCTTATTTTTTGAGGGCGCATCCCTAAGATTGTCATCGCTTTTTGGCATGTCAATCTTAGGGATATGGATATGTTCGAGGCTGGTAAAAGGAGGAGGCACATGCGCTGCCGGCATAAGCAGCAGCGCAAGGCGAGGCAGGCCATGAGCAGCCGCAAGCGCGCCAGGCAAGGGTCTGGGGCTGGGGGCCATGGCACGGCAGGCGCCCGCGCGGGGCAAAGCAGCTGCGGTGCCCGCGCCGAGGCCACCTTGGCCGAATGGCTTCAGCCAGAATGGCTAAGGAGGAGGAGGAGGAGGAGGAGGAGGAGGAGGAGGAGGAGGAGGAGGAGGAGGAGGAGCATCCTCGCCGCCGCCGCCGTCCCTCCCTGCTGCTGCCCCTCACCCTCCGATGACTACCACGCCGCAGCCTCGGAGCGCCCTGGCGGACCAAGCCAGCCAAGGCTGCGCGCGCCCGGCCGCCGGCGAGAAAGTCCAGACGAGCACGCAAGGGGGGGGGGGGCTGCCGTGGGCAGGCCCCGAGTGCGGCTCGCAGGCGCGCTGCCAGCAACGCACACGATGAAGGCATCCAGGGTACGAGGACGGCGCCCGTGTGCTGTACCATGTCTGGTATCCCTTCAGGCCCCGCTCCAGCGCGGAACGGTGCGTATCTCTTCGGTCCCGAGGGCCGAGGGAACTGTGCATCGTACGTCTCCCAGGTCGAGGATCGACAAAACGCCCTGGGAGACGCCAGCGCGGCACGGTTCACAGAAGCCGCCCGCGGGTTGGGGAACGCTTGTCGTCGATCTCCCCTCCACGAGACTCCACCAGCTGTCTTTAGACCGCGCTCTTTTGCGCGCGCGCGTTGCGCTTACTATCTCGGCCCGATGGCAATTTTCCGCCGCCTTTGGGCGGCCTCCGCTGCTGAGAGCCGAGGCCAGTCGCCGTCGACCTCCAGACCACCAGAAGTGCCTCGGGGATCCTGGCTGGATCGCCAGCGACACCGCTCGGAACGCCTACCCTGACATGACAGAGATCAATACGGGGTATGTCGACCCCTATCCCAGGCTTGGGGTGTTTTCGACTGGACAAGAAATTGGAGCCCAACCTTGGGATATACGATGGGGGGCGTCCATCATCGATCGGGGTGCGTCCGAATAGCCTCCTTGGGGTGTATCCCAAGGTTCCATGTTTTTCTGAGCGGCCCAAACTTCGGGCGGAACTCTAGGAGTGTGGGGGGTGGGGGGAAATCGCGTACGAATCCTGGACGGAACGGGCCCAGGACCCTGGGGCCTTCCCCCTGGGACTCCCATTCTGCATCCTGGATCGTTGATTGACGGTCCCGGGATCCGCGGGGCCCGTGGAGGGCCCCGGTGCCCCGAAAGCGGCGGAACCTCCCAGTACCCGAGCGCCTCATAGCGACTCCCCTCCCCCGCCCCTCTGGCTGTGTCGGGCTCGTCGGGGGGGCTCCCAATTCCCCCAGGTGGCCCTCCGAGGGGGGCTTGCCCTCCCCCGCCCGTCGAAAGGGCGCGCCGTCCCATCGGGTCCTGGCCGCGCACCTGCGGCGGCTCGGGACGCCCCCCTGTGGCTGCGCTGGGCTCTTCCAGGAGGCTCCGAGGGCTCTAAATGGACCTCCGCAGGGATTAAGCTATTTTTTCTTCCGGAGAAGTGCGGAGCGCGATCGTCATCCCTGCTCGACTCGACGATGCGGCAGCTGCAGTGCGAGTCGAAAGCTCGCCAGCCGAACCAGGACGACCGCACACGTGTTGCGGCCTTGCGGTTCTGTGCCTGCTCGACCCGCGGCTGCGCCCTCTCGTCATGCTTGGCTGCTCTGCCGTCTGCGCGGCAAATCTGGCCTGTCTGTGTGATGCAGCCCCATGCGTTCGCTTGTTGCAGCCTTGTTTAATTTTTTTTGTTTCTCTCTCTCTCTCTCACTCTCCCTCTGGCCGCACTTCTGCCGACCTGACACAGGCCAGCCGATGGACCTCCGAAGGGAAGTGCGCCGCCCCTCTGGGCCTCCAGGCAGCTGCCAGCTCCGCGGTCGTCCCGCTTCGCGCCCTCGCGCCCCGCGGTGCGCGGCTCACGCCTTGCGCCCCTCGCGCTGCCGCCGCGGAGCAGGCTTGGACGCCCGAAATGGGTACTGACAGAATGGGCACTGTGCCCAACAACAAATGTTGCCCCAAGCCAACAGCGGCCGCTGTTGGGCAGGCGACCTTCTGTCTCGAATGGACACAGGCTGCGGCGGCGCGGACAGCGGATCCTGTTCAAAATGAACAGGAATTGCTGTTGGGCATTGTACCAGAGCGTGAATTACCTCCCCCGCTTTCGCTTCCAGGCAAAACCAAGCCATACCACGCGCCTCCTCGTCAAGCAGCCTGACCAGTACAGGCCGCAATTTGGCATCGTTTGGCATCTCTTGGAAGCGAGGGTGGTCAAAAGCGAGGCAGGTTTGTTTTCCCCCGATTGTACCCATTCTTCCAGTACCCATCTCGGGCGTCCAGAGCAGGGGGGGACCTGCGCGCGCCTCTCGCCCTCGCTCGGGCGTCCATTTCCTGTGTCTTTTGTGTCGGCTTCGTGCGTGGGCTTGCCGCCACATGATCAAGGATGCTCCTCGCGGGCCCTCGCCGAAGGAGAAATGCACACGTCCGAGCGATGCCAAGGCCTCTGGGCGACCCGGCCAATCTCGGGCGGTCAGCCTGCGGCAAGACGGCGATTCAGCCGACGCTCGACGTGGCGTGCGCTGCCCGACTCCTTATGTCCGGAGACCATCTGCTGGAACTCCGCCAGGTCCAGGACGCCGTCCCCGTCCTGCCCGTGGCTCTGGGGACGCGAACTCTGCGCCGGCTCGAACGAACCGAATCGTCTCTCGAATGGAAGCGGCGACGTCTTCGAGGCGCTCCTCTGCGTCTCCAGCCTCCTTTTCGTCCCCCTCTTCGCACGTTGTCCCCTCCTGCTGTCTGGCCCACCAGCGCAGCAAAGAAGTGTGCGCGCACTGCCCAGATGAAGGCACATGCCTGTCCATGCTATGGCCTGCCACGCCACATCTGCTTGCTCAGCCATGCCTCCTCCAATAGAGCTGCCCCATCTGACAAAACCCCTGCCATTCAGGAGCCTGCGAACCCCTGGAACACTCTGCATCGCCCCGAGAACAAATAAATGCCCATGATGTCGGGGATCTTCTGACCCGGGTCAATCCAGACCCGGGTCAATCAGGCCTGCAAAATCCTGCAAAATCCTGCACCCAAACCCGGGTCAATGCGAAGGATCCTGCAGGATCCTGCAGGATCCTGCACCCAAACCCGGGTCAATGCGACCCTGGCGCTGCAGGATCCTGCAAGATCTGGCGCTCTGGCTGACCCCCGTCTGCACTGACCCCCGTCTCGAGGCTCCCGATGATGAATCAATCAATCGCACTCCGGCCGAACCGACCCACTGACACACCAGACCGACATCATCCGGACCGCGGCTCCGCACTGCGCGCTCGGCCCCGGCTCCCTGATACCCACCCGGCCCCTGCCCAAACATCCTCCTCCTCCTCCTCCTCCTCCTCCTCGTTCCTCCTTGCACTCCTCCTTCTCCTCGTTCCTCCTTGCCCTCCTCCTCCTCCTCCTCCTCCTCCTCCTCCTCCTCCTCCTCCTGGGCTCCCTCCTGGAGCTCGTGGGCGGGAGAGCTGCAGCACCTTATACTGCAAAAGCCTTGCTCTGGCGAGTCCATAGGGGCACGCTCGCCGTCGGTGCTGGGGCTGTCCGGAGCGTCCCGGGGCTTCTGCGGATGCCTACGGCCTTCTGGGCACTGATGTACAGTCGGGGCGTTGACCTAAGGAACCCTAGATAAGGAACGAGGCCCCTTTTGTTCCATAAGTTCTACTTCTATTTCCCATGGAAGCCTCAGGAAAACCTGTGGCAAGATGTAAAACAATCTCGGAGATGGACAGACCCCCCTTTAGTAAAACGTGGTTTAGTGAAGACGACCTGAGGCCCAAACCTGGCGGGCGCAAGCCTGGAAAATAACGGCCACGGCGCCATCTCGAGAACCGAAAACGGACAATTCACTAATCGACGTGTCACTGTTGGGGGTTCTGTCCACCCCCGACAGTCGAGGAACACTGAGCCCCCCCCCAACGAAAATGGTTCCTTCTTCAGCGCCCCGACGGTCGGCACTGTGCGGGGGCATGGGGACTCGGTCGGGCTAAGAAGAAGAAGAAGAAGAAGAAGACGTCGCGCACCCTTTGCCGTCGGGTCATTGCCTAAATCCCGATCCTGACTCTGGGATCCCCGCGGCTACCGGCATGATCGAGCCCCGAAGGGGAGACAACTGAGCGGTGAGATCGCAGACCGTCCCTCCTCGCGCCAGGAGGGGGCGAGGGTGCTGCACACCCTGCGCTGAAATTCACGCGCCTTGGGGGTGCGCAAGGCGGCAAGGCGACCTTCACAGGGTCTGCGAAGGTTGCTCCGCAACTGCCGACGGTGGCCGAGGCTCGAGGGTGGCATGATGGCCGCTCGGGTGCCGCCGACACATGCCGTTGATACGACGCGACCCCCGAGTCACTGCGCCGAGCAGCATGTGCTCCTTTCCTGTAACGATTCAAAAGCTGAAGATGGCTCCTACAGTAGACACGCACGGAAAGAAATCTTGCTACAAGAAGTCTACGGGCACGTTCGTCGTCGAAACTGAAACTCCCTGAGGTGACCAAAGGCTTCTGAGGGCCCCGCCTGCCATTGGTGGATACAAAACTTCTGTGTGGCACCTGCTGACAGACCGGATTATTATGTGACATGCCTCCTGGATAAGACTCGAAGAGAACACTTCGATGGGCAAGGCAACCGACCCTCCTGAATCCGCCCAAGGATAACCTGGAACGAACGACGAGCAGGTCCCATAACGAAGACGGCGGCAAAAGAAAGCATCGCAAGCCCAGAGCAAACATCTCGAGTCCAAGTCGAACTCGGAAATCATGTCGGAAAACTGCTGGTTGTTCCTGTCCTGCAGGGATTCCCAGGACATCATACTCCACAAGGACAATCTGAAATACACGCATGTGTATACTACGCCGTTACACAAGTTCGTCATGCTTTATGGGAGCGCCAAGATGATGCAGGTTTCGTCCGTTCCTTCCGCGCGAGCGGGCGGGCGAAGGCTGACCCCTGCCCCGACCGCGCCAAGCTGCCCCCCTTTCCGAACTAGAATCCTAGCGGGCTGGGTCAAGAGCGGTCAGATCAAACATCCTGGATGCTTAAATCCGGGACTTCCTCAAGTTCTATGATGATTTATGTTTAAAACGGGACAACCTGCAGTCCACAAACTACTTCATCATGAGGTGCTGAACAGAAGACGCCGCGGGGACCTTACCGAATGCTGCTCCAGGGCAGCGCGGGCGATCATAATCACTCACGTCGACCATCAAACATAATTCTAGTCAAAGCCATACTGCTGCATAGCGCATGGCAAATTTTGACGATGGCTTCCACCAAAGCCGCTGCGGCCGCCCCATTTATTCTCTACGCTCCGTCGTTGCCAATGGAATTAGACCGGGTCGATCATTGGCAAAAACAACCGCCCTGGAAACTCCCCCAAACAATCTTCCCGCAAATCTCCGCGAATCTCCAATCTCCCCAAAAAACTTCCAGCGAGCCTCCGGAACACTGTCGCGCCTCAACAACCTCGAATGAAGTTTCCAATGCATCATCCCGCCAACAATAATCTCCTGTGACATCTCCCAGATACTGTCGCTTCAAGCAAAAATTCAACGACATCTCCCTCAGAGATCTTCCCTATGTTAAAATGTTCTGGAGATTGTCCGGATAATCCTGCAACGCGGAGATTTTTCAGACATTAAAGCCCAGAGGTTTACTGCAGAGGTCCTCAAAGATTTTGAGATCCTGGAGATGTCCCGGAGATGTTTCATCCAGGGGGCCCGGTCGCCTTTGCCACATTAACCCAGTCAGACACCAGAGTCGCCGCTGCTGACTTCGTGCCCTTGGAAACCTCTGATAAGGGTCGCTGGGGATGCCCGTTCTCTCTCTCTCTCTCTCTTCCTTTTCTCTGTCGCTTTCTCTCCCAAATTTGATGTCTGTCCGCAGAACCACTCCTGGGCTGGCCCCTCAGGGCAGTATCGCCGGGTGCGGGGCCGCACGCTGGCGTTGGCCGACGAGGACAACGAACGCACGGACGGACTCGTGGGCTGCTGCCGGGCCTCCTGCTGGTCGACGTTCCGGGCCAGCGCTGCGCAGTCAACCCACCCCCCGACCGAGACTCCGAACATGATCGTTTTTGCCGCGTCCTTGGGGGGTTACGTTAGGGGAGACAATTTCAGGGGGGGCGCATCGTCCTGGAATCGACGATACATCGCCGATGGATCAGCGCTAAGACGCCGATAACGAATCCGCACAATCGTACGCGGGGTGTGCTAACAGCGAGAAGTGTTCAATAGCACCCCCCCACATCCTCCCCCAAAAGTCGGCAACTGTTGGCTTCCCCAGAGATTAGTTGAAGGATTACGACGCCCAACGATACTCGACAAATGATTATTCCGCCGCCGCCTCCGCCGCCGCCGGCTCCGTCGTCGTCGTCGTTACCGGCGTCGTCGCAGTACTACTTTTACTACTGCAAACAATGCCACAGCTACGACTACGATTTCTACGACCAGGGTTGAACGTTACCTGTGCGCAATGACAATAAACTATCAAAGGGTAAACAATAAAGTGTTCGGGTTCGGGTTCGAGACAGGGTTCGGTACCGTACAACTACTGTGCGAGCGCAATACACATACAATGCACCTGAAATACAACTATAATACCACATGCCATACGTATGCAACACCCGTATCGCAGAATTTTCTTTCCCGCGCGCAGATGACATTTAGAACTGCCCATTTCCTAACAGACGGCTGTACTCCGTGGAGGGACCCGAATGCAAGCCTTATGAAAACTACCGCGCGCACGTGAAGGTAAAACTAAACCCCCTCCAGGAATCCTCAAGGTTTCGACAATCGCAGCGCTCGCTTGGGAATCCTCACAAGTTCCTCAGGATCCAGAGGGTCCCTTTCAAGATTCCTCAGGATGCCCCAGGACTCGTCGAGATTCTCCCGGATTGCCCAGACTCTCCAAAGATCCCGTGACATTCCCAGGGGTTCAGAATTCCGCGGATTCACTTGGGAGTCCGCGGGATCTTCTTGGGGTCAGTCAGGATTCTCCATGCATCCTTCAAGGTTCTTCAGGATCCCCCGATTCTTTGATAATTCAACAAGCTCCTGTCGGACATCGGTCTGTTCCGTCAGCATTGCTCAAGACTCCGCAGAGTCCCCTCGTGCCCTCTCTGGATACCGAAGGACTCCTGAAGGGCTCCACACGATTCCCCAGGGACCCCCAACATTCCTGGGGAGCCCACAGAACCCCGACGGGTTCCAAACAAGACCCTCAGGGTTCCTCGGCAGTCCTTTGGGGCTTCCTGCATCCGCAGGACTCTTGCGGGAACCCTCAAAGGT